TCTAGTAACATGTCGTGACTTAAACATAAGAACATATTATGGCTAAGGCTACAGTTATACACGTCATAATAATAATATTAAACACCCTGTCTGCTGACAGTCATCAACTCTTCTCTCTAGTTATCCTTGACCAGATGTACCCTGTAGAAACTCATAAGCATGACTAAGCATTTAACAGTCTAACTAGACATCCTATCTCCACTAAACATTTCTAATACATAAAGTATCTATCCAATATCTATTTGACTAAAAATATCTAACAAAACTTAAACTCTGTCCATCTGCACATCTGTTGCTCTCTCTTCACTAGTTTTTAGGCTGACAACTTATCCTCTGTGAGCCTTTTTCCTCTCGTTGTTTCTTTTGACCAGTTTTGGCCCCATTTACTTACCATTTCCTGCACTAATTAGGTACTTCAGTTTTAGAGTACTCCCCACCCCCCAAACTTGACTTTTTCTTCCATTCTTCATTTTCCCTTTTGTCCTTTATCTGCACAAGCAGGTAGCTACTTCAGGAAAGACAGGTAGGCATAGTACTTTACTAGAGTTACTGCACCCTTTCTTTCCCTCTGGTCCACCTGAAGAGCTATTGTGTGTCCTGAGAGGCTCTGAGTGGCCATAGAGAGTCTGAAGAGATCGGTTTCAAAACAACAAAGCAGAGGTCTCGGACAGTGTCTCCTGCCTTGTTCCTAGCAGGCAGCAACAGACTCACTACATGACAGGCTGAGGAGGAAGCTGAAATGGGTCTTTGTGCATGAGGGCTTGTTACACAGAGTCTATGTGTGTTTGTTTTTGTTTCATTCACCTTAGCTGAACCTCATCCCGTGTGATTTCGAATACAGAAAACCCATCGCAATTGCTACAGAAGGAATGTGTGCAGTATCATCTGTATGTCAATGTGTGTGTGTGTGTGTGTGTGTGTGTTTCAGGTGTGAATGACTGGACAAAGTAGTGATTTATGGAGGTGTCTTGGATGACAAAGACCGTCTCACCAGAAAAGTGAGGAGACACCAGAGAATACTTATGTAGCGTAATGACGGGTCCTATAACAGCGGACAACACACAGGGGAAAAGGATGAATGCAGCAGCACACACACACTGACACAAAGAGCCTTTCACCCTACTACAATGGCCTTTGGTCTGACATGTCAAAGATTATTAATGACTGTTAATGTATACCGCTTTGTTGGTTTGTGTTTGTGTGTGGCCCGCACCCTATGATCATACTAGCAACAAAAAGTAATCCTGTTTAACAGAAGGCACAGAATTCCTATTCTATTATATCCCTTTACTGATGTTGTTTGTGACTAATCATTGTCCCCACCCTTCAGTACATTGGGTGGGACAAGCATAATTCAGTATCACTGCTTATTAACTCAGCTGCATCATGTTGTGTGCACATGATCATAATTCGATTTTCAAAATTCTGTTGTCCAATATACTGATTCTTACCAAGCTAAGATTAAAAACAAATCTATTATTGTTTGTTTAGCTAAATATGAACGTTTTATTGAATGGTACATACATACATTTGTTGTATCATGATATATTATTAATAAACTATTAACGGATTGTTGTTGTTCTTGAGAAGCTACATAATATTAACTTTTAAAGTGATACAGTATTCTAAACTCAGGGATTGTTGTTGTTCATGAGAAGCTACATAGTATTAACATTTAAAGTGATACAGTATTCTAAACTCAAGGGTCTCTTACTAACTTTGACACCTGAACAAGTGTTTCACTGACTGATGTAGGCTAATGAAGTAATTCAACCTCAAATTTAGAATATTTTAGTCACAAAACATGTCTTCTATTTTGATGATGATTTCAACCATACTTATCCAACCCTGTTGTGGCAATAATGTATATTTACTGCAGTTATATCAATAATGACTCACTGAATTAAACTGACCAAAATTAGCTTTAAGCTCCTGTTCTGTAGGACACAGTGTGTGTGTGTAGGCAACGGCTGCTCCCCTTGCCAGTAGATCACTGACCCAGAACAGGTCTATTGTATACATACACACAGGTAGCTCCCTGGAGAAGCAGAAATACAGCCTGTGAATCTCATTACTCAGTGAGAGGAGAGTAAAAAGTGATGAGAAATGTCACAAGAGAATCATCCCCCAAATCCCCTTTCCTGAGTCACTGCTCTTTTAAGTGCATCTTTCCTTTCTACTTCTCTTCTTCCTCTTTCCTCCACAAGGGACTAATAATCTGAAGCGGTTGGCTGAGGCGCATTGGGAAATGCTTTTCTTGAGCAACTGACCTATTGTACACCAGAGTGGATAGTTACATCAAAGAGGAGAAAAGGTTAAAAACACACTACACAGTACAGTAAATCTCATCCATCATCCATCCCTCTGCTCCCTCACTGTCCCTTTTTCTTCCTCTCCTTCCTCTGCTGTCTCAGAAACTCCTGTCCAAAAACAGATCCCATTACATGCCATTATACAATCTCAGGCTCTTTCTCACGTGCTCACACATTAATACAACAGAGGACAGAGTGTGGGGGTGTTGCGGGTAGGGATCAGAAATGGTAGAATGGCCTTTGTGTAGGTAGATTAGAAGAAAACACTAATGGTATTAAGCTAATGGTCTGAAAGCCACAGTCACACACTGACATGGACCCTGGGGAATACATAATTGTCCCTAGTGGTAGACAGAAGCAGCCACTGACACATCAGAGGTAGGGATCAGGTTTTCTGCTATTGTGGGGATGGTTCTATATGGGAGCTAGAAGCTACATAACCAGGCAGTATGTATTTTTGTATCACAAAGCATGGGAAATCTCAGCAAGCTTCAACTTAGCTCAACACAGATTCTCTTTCGAGGTCAAGGCCACACTGAGTGAGGTCTACTACCACAGTGCCCCATATAGTCACCCCTTAACTTGGTCTAAAGGTTGTCGAGCCGGCATACTGTAGTGTCAGCTGTGTACGTCAGTATATATGCATGTATGTGTTCATGTGTGTTCCCAGTTTCCAGTGGGACAAATGGATCCAGATGGGAACTCTGGAATCACATTCCCTACAGGAAGCCATCCACCTGAAGCCACACACACACACACACACACACACACACACACACACACACAGCAATGCTAATGCTAATCAGTATTAGGTTCCCTGTGCTCTGGAATGTGTGTGCAACAGTGACTAGTGCCGGGGGATTTGTAGCAATTGGTAAGACATCAGCACATGCACGACAACTGTGGGTCACCTTTGAGCCAAAATATGATCCACTCGCCTGAATTTTATGCATGTAACTGAGCTTTTAATCAATGGTATACTAAGGTTGTAGTATTGTGATGGAGGATGAATGCCTGGGATTTTTTTGCCTCTCTGGTGCCATTTTTACAACAGCAGGGAGAATCAATTTGCTACAAGCAAACTTGAATTCAATCCACAAGCTATAGCAATGTATTATGTTACATGTTCAGTGATAGAGATGATAAACACACACAAGAGCCAATGTTTCGCTAAAAGGTACAACACCTGGGTTGACCTCAGTTACAGTAAGCATTTGATACCCTGTGACACAGCCCTGCACATTTAATTATAGACATGAATGTATCTGATTACTAATACAGGAACAGGATCTTGTGGCCCGTTCCAAGGAATTTTACATGGGTTTTGAATGCTTGAACATGATTCTAGTTTTGACTCCTGAAGTGTAATTCCTTTCACCCAAAAACTACCTACTCTGATGTTGTACTTTCTGACGGCTCAAGGGCAGATTCTGCAGCACAGAATGTCACAAAACTGTCAAACACGAGCCTCGAGAGTGCAACTACTGCATTCAATCCCTGCCTATTACTCTAAGTGGGAATGAGATTTTTATTTGGCTCTAATGACATGTCAACAACAACCAAATTGCCACCTAATAATAAAACCAGCTACTCAGCAAGTGAGCAAACTTATGTTTGCTACAGTATATATATATATCCTAAGGCAGAGAAATGACCCAGGCAAATGGTGCCAAAAACTGAAAAATAAATAAATAAGTAAGTAAGTAAGTAAGTAAGTAAGTAAGTAAGTAAGTAAGTAAGTGACCCATTTAGTTGGACTTATCCTGACAGTAACGGCAGACAGACAAGTACTGTAAATATAGGCTCCCAGTGGAAATTAAGAAGTTGACATCATCACCATACATTATGATCTGCACGCTGTTTAGCTGATCGCAGATTGTTGAGACTAAAACTGTGTGCTCTTGGTTGTGTAAGAAAGAGAGACCAGGAAGATTACTATGTGTGCAAAAATTGAGCTTTGTCTTTTTTTTTTTTTATTCTGGATAGGTGAAAAGCCAAGAAACAGCACTGGCCATATATGACTATCTCCTGCACTCATTTTCCCCTCCACTCTGTCTCTGCCTTTTTTTCTCCTCCACACTGATCTGACCTGCACTATATTAAATCTCTTAAGCACATTCCATAATTAGGTTTATCTAACCTGCTGAGGAGACTGTCTTATATTACACACTGTGTGTGTGTGTGTGTGTGAATTATGTGTTTGCTCACTTATGGATGAGTGTACTATACTTGCCTTAGTGAAAAACACAGAGAGGTGAGTTTCACTGCCAAGAATCCAAATAGGGAACTTTGGAGACTTGAGGAATGCCCCAACCTGAAACACACACACACACACACACACACAGAAAAGGAATGATGAGTCTATTTTCAGTCATTTCTATCAGGAATACTACATGAAAAAGAAGTTACTTCTCTGGAGCCTCAACAAATAGTACCAAGTAATGAATTAAATATTGTTTTTTGTATTCTTGGGTGATCTTATACTTAGATTAGGTAGTCGTTCTTTTGGCTTTAAACTCTTTACTTGACTGTAGGAGAGTCCTGCACAAGAATTCCTATATGCCTAGACTGTCTGTTTATGCATAAATGGCAAATAAAAATCTTGAATTTAATGAATCTCATTTTCTTTGGATCTTCTTCTTAGTCACTTTCTATTCTGCATAGTGGTATAATATCTAGCTTGAAGTTCATTTCCATTGACCACAACAATAAACCAAGTGGCAGAAGCTTATATGAGCAGCATATTTATGAGCAAATCCCTCCTTATTTAATATGAGGTGTCCTCTTAAATCACTCTGGACAGCCATCTAGTTACTTTGGCAACCAACTACTTGTTCCTAACATGTTATAGCTGTTATAGAGAATTCACTCCACTCCCATCTTTTTTGAGCTTGCTTATACTGGCAATGTTAAATAAATTTCAAAGATTCCTGTTTTGAAGATGACTAAAATGTGTCAAGTCACATGCATTTTTAGATGTCTTTTGTGTTCTATTTTCAGTAAATGTGTGTTTCAGTACACATGCCAGACTGTTGAGACTGTTCCTTCCAAACATATTTTCACACGGGAGCTCTCACTGCGCTTTGTGCAACACACATTTCAAATGTCCCACATCTCAGTCACAGTAACATTAAGCATTCGTGTGTTTCTTTGATTTCTTAGCTTATTCAGTGGCAATCTCAATTCATATTGAGTCCTCATATAAAAAAACAAATCTAACAATCCATCCATAAGCTTATCACGAGCGAACTCTATACAAGTAGTTTTTTACATTATGCTCACAGAGCCTATATGTGTCTTTACCTTGCAGTAGCGCAGTGATTCCATAAGTGTGAGGAAGCCAACGGATGCCTGTTTATGAATACCATGTAGTTCTACAAGACGAGGGAAAAGAAGAGCAATAAAATGTGAATTTATTAAACAAAATCAAACTGGTATTAATGTGTGCTTTTTCCACAATGCCGTTGGATGTAAAAAAAAATATATATATATTGCCTTCTGATGGATATGGCTTAAATCTCGGTTCACAATTGTTTTTTCATTCTAAACATAATTACCGTAGTTTCCGCACTGTAAGGCGCACCCAAGAGCCTTAATTTTTCTCAAAAATCGGCCGTGCGCCTGATAATCCGGTGCGCCTTATGTGTGCACTGAGTTCCAAAATCTGTAAAAATGTTGTTGTGCGACTTTGGTAAGCGCTCCGCTTGATTGACTGTCATCCGGTCTAAGGACCCCCGAAAATGGCACCAGTGAAGAGACATGCTTACGAGGCACAATTCAAACCACAGGCTATCAGTTACGCGGTTGTAAATGGGAATAGAGCAGCTGCGAAAGAATTCAAAATCAATGAATCTATGGTTCGGAAGTGGATTTGTGGGAGAAGATTGATTAAAAAATAATGTGAGTGTATTGTTAAATAGTAGAATAAAGTTCAACTAAACTCACTGTTTTGCTTCCGTTACGTTTTAGCATGCGCCTTATAATACGGTGCGCCTTATGTATGGGTTAAGTACAGATATAGACCCCATAATTGAGACTGCGCCTTATAATCCAGTGCGCCTTATGGTGCAGAAAATATGGTAAATAAATGCTAACTTAAAAAAAAACAAATCAACAAAATTGAGTTCACTGAGTGTAATGTGCTTTTTGTGTGTGAATATGGCGCGTGTGTGTGTGTGTGTGTGTGTGTGTGTATACAGTAACTTTATGAAAGTCTTACTCATGCCAGAACACTCCCTGTCGCCATCCCAGACATTAGAGACAGCATGGCCAGTGACAAGGAGGTTAACCAGGCTCTGACTGTAAATGATACAAGAAAGGAAATATTTAAAAATATAAAAAACTGACAAAATATAAAACATCTCAACACATGAACATCCAGGTGGCAATAATGTTTATTTCCCTGTGACAGTCTAACTGACGTGGACAACAGGTGAAGAGAGGCATTCTTATACCTGCCATGACCATGCACAGGGTCTATGAGTGGTTCCATTGTGTCCTGGATCTCATTTCGTATATTCTCTATTCCCTGCACAGGGAGGAACAAGTTTGTATTTAGTTATCATTTATTTGAGATTTTTTTCTGGAAAATGGCTTCAAACTCTAAAAGATGGTGATTCAAATCCTATTTAAGTAAAAATACTTAGTTCTAAGCTATTTTTAAGCATTCATCACTTCATTCAAATTACTTAATAGCTATCTCATTGTTTCCATTCAGTACCTAATATCTTTTAATCTCTATCTATCCATCTATCTATTTACTTCACCTTGGTTAGGATAACTGAGTAGAGGAATAGCAAGACTCCACAGCACCCCCTCCAGGTGTGGTAGAGAGACAGCATCTCTTCTTTGAGATCAGACACTGACATTACAGTCCGCTTTCTGCAGGGGGAAAAAACATCAAGATGACTAAAGACCCAGTCAATAGAAAGAAGATCTGTTGGGTATTAGAAAGCCACAGTCAGTGAGACTGATGAATTATATTCCTCATGCCAGGATGACAAAGATAACTTTCACCAAGGTGGCACAAATCTACTAAAGAGGAGGAAAAGAAAAATCTTATCTCGTCTGTTTGGAGCCACTTCCCCCTTTCACTCCACCTTAGTGGAGCGGTCTCTTTTAGTTAGCGTACACTTCTTCACTGTGAGTCAGCACTGCTTTTTGCTGACTGTAGTCTTAGCTGACAGTGTGCTATGTGATGAAATTTCAATATTTCCCTGGCAAATGTAGCCTTCCATTCATTTAGTTTGTGTCAGAAAGGTACTGAGGGAGAGTTTTTTTTTTTATTAGGCCATCAGTGAACATGATGAGTTGGCAATTTGTGAGCAGAGTGAAATAACTAATTCACTCTGAAAGCCAAGTCTAACAGGCTAAATTAATCAAATAGAACCCCTCCACACCCACTTCTGAGATATATTTAGTTCTCTATTTCAATACTGCATGCTGGCAATACTAAAACCAGGATTTATGTGGTTTTAATCCCTTCAGAAACCCACAGTATTATTTCATGTCAACGCTATCTGCATTGAGTTTAAGCATAAGGATGCAGTGTTAGGTGTGGTGCGAATATGAAATGACACTTACTGAAGAACACTGTGAAACTGCTCAAAGCCAAGGTCCTCTGCAGCCAAAGCAGCTAGGCACAAAAAACAAACATACATACACTGCACTATCAAAGTATGACACAGCAAATCAGCACACTGCCAAAGAGTTATGTCATCAAAAGTTATTATTTTTGTAAATAATGGCAAAGACTGGGCTTGCATGAATAAGCACTGTGCTCCATTTTTCTAAATGTGCATCTCGCCTGGGAATGTGACAGATGTAGAACTCACAGGGTTGCTGCTCCTGTGGTGACTGGCTGCTCTCTGGCTCTGACATGTCCTGCATTTGTAACTGTGATTGTGTACTCATGTGTGGGCTCTGTCCCTTTGCCCAGGTCACCAGGCAGAACCCTGTGGAGGAGCTGGAGCAGGCAGACTCCAGGATTTCACTTAATGTCAAGCACAGCGTTGTTTTCTGCTCCTCCTCTAACAGACACAAACATAAAACAGACATGATTTAACAAGTCACGAATATATATATATATATGAAACAATAGTAATAGCAACAGTCTGGATGTTTCTGTGGACAATCTACCTGATGCCTTTCTCCAGTTGGAACTTTCTCTGTTAAAGAGAATGTTCTTTAAGAGGAAAGCCTGCAATGAAACACAAACTCAGTCTGCAAGTTTGCAAGAAAATACTCCATAGTACAATGTGCCAAGTATTGTTTGTCCACAGTCATATATAATTTTTAAAAAAAGCATTGCCAACATTGCATATTATATGTCTGAAAGACTCCCAAGAGTTTGATCCACATTCCAAGTCAGTCTGCCAAGTATGAAAGTTGGCTCAATGGAAAATCCCCGAGTGCACATGTGCAAAGCACACATTCTGAATGGGTGCAATTTTGACTAAACTCTTTCATTCTTACCAATTCAATTTTAAGCACTCCCATCCACTGAGCAAGTATTGTATGAGGTCTGTGAGGTGTCAGTGCTTACGGAATATGCTGGACAATGAAAATGGGCTCTGCTAATACTGCAAGGACACTGAACTACACCATACCTGGACAGGTGCAATGACAGCACATGGCCCTCCTTCAAACTGCTCCAGTGCTGTGTGCTCACTCTCACTGAAAACAAAGCCTGTGATGAAGACACAAATAAAAGAAAGAAATTGCAGATGTGTAGACTTCCTATAATAGTACAGTGAGTATTTTGGGTTTTGGACTGTTCATTGGAGAAGATGTCACCTTGGACTAAGGGCTTTTTTAAACCTAGTTAGACTAAACAATTACTTAGGTGAAAATAACTGACAAACTAATCTATAATAATATTTAGTTCCAGTCCTAGTCACACTAAAGGCCACAGAATTTAATTTTGTTTCATTTGATTCATGTGTTGGCCCTGTAATACACTCGCGACCTGTCCAGAATGTACCCCACCTCTCGCCCAGTGATGGCTGGGATTGGCTCTAGCCTCCCGGCGGCCCTCTCAGGATGAGCAGTATAGATAATGGATGGATTTATTTATTTGTTTAACTAAGGCAACACACAATTAACAGCAAATTATGGAAAAGTGTCATAGTTAGCCAAAAAGGCTAATTTTCATCTGCAGTCAATTGGCAGCTTAATGTTAACATTAAAACAAACACATTCATTCTAAAGGCTGTGGCAGGGCTGAGAAACCATGTACAGGTGCAGGAATGATTATGCGCAGTGGTCATATCAACCACATACACAACAGCAGAGTATTCCAATGCTTATCTGACCTTCAGACCCATAGATTGTATATACACTGTATAATATCTACAGTCTATGGGAGGAGCTAACAATTGAAATCACCTGTTATACCCTTTTTTTTTTATCACAACCGGATACACTGTTCATGACGTCTGTTCTGTTAAGCAAAAGCACTTTCATTCATGTCGTCAGACTTATAACATACATTATACATCATACATTACCTTGCGTCCATCTACGGAAGATAGAGGCAGACACTCTTCCACTGGGGGGTCTCCCCCAAACCAAATCCACCACTTCTTTATTTAACTCCGACATGTCAACTTGCACGACCGGTAACTCCCTCTTCAGTCCAACAGCCGGGCGGGGACACCAGAGGTCTGTTGAAGCCAACTCGCTAGCTCTTGCAGAGGTTGCCAGACCGAGCCTGTGGCATTGGCCACAAGCTACTATTGTAGCTACCCTCAGTCTGTCTCTAGTGGCTGGCAGCACACTGGGGGTAGGAACGACATTAGTGTAACTCTTAACCATAGTAGTACGCAAAGTAATAGGACAGAACCACACTGAGACTACTGTCTAAAGCAACTACGACGTTTAGCACCGATAGACTAATAGCATTTCTACAGTGACAGTCGCGCGATTTAAGGCTATTTTTACATATGAGCAATGCTTTATACTCTCGATTTACAAACAAGCTAGAAAGCTAACAGCAGCGTTAAGGTCCCATTTTAGTTAAAATAGATAGTTAGCAATAAAAGTATGGACAACAAGATAATGGTTAGTTAAGTATTTCTGTGGTGGCGTTATTACCTTACACTGTTGTGAAACTGAATTGGCTTAGTAATGTCAGCAGTTAGCATTAGCATTACTACTAGTAGCCAATCTTTCATTGCTTTGTCATTCAGTCACTTCTCACACTACAGCGATGCCGATAGTTATATGAATTCATACTATTAGTTGTTAGCTATAATAGATCATACTTACCTTAATACACCGTCAGATATTGGGATTCCGTAATGATTACAAATTTTGTAGCAATTTCACTACTACCACCGTCTCTGTCATTCGTTTATTTACAACAGAATTGTAAAAGAAAAAAAAAGCGTGCGTATATTTAACGTATCTGCCCATTGGTTGAAATCCATAAAATTCCAGCTGGGGTGTAGCTTCGACGCGTTACCTCAATGGTTTATAGACTTGTCATTCATATTGAGCGCCCGCCCATGAGCAAGGCTGTTAAATTGGCGCTTACTTTAAAGTCCTCTTCAAACTCAAAGAACGTGTTCTGTCAAAGGTAAAGGTTGCTTCAGTGGTAAAGCAACGCTCAATATGCAATTACTACCAGCGTCGGCAAGTATAGAAAAACATTCTCTTTTCACGTCAGTATTAAAAGGACCGCAAATGTTATGTCCACTACCTCTTTCCGTAGCACACAGTCACTACTTAGCGCATGCGCTCTGTATGCATTCATCTCTTTCCACGCGTGTTTATGAAACTTTGGGTTAAAAGTGTTTTAAGGTAGAGACTGACGAAATATAAGACGTGTTTTTTTATTACTATGGGAGGACAGGCTAAGGGCAAAAAGAAAAATAAGCCAAAGAAGAAAAATAACTGCGCAAACAAGGGTAAATTGTTTAGTGTTTTTTCATTTAGCAGTTTAAAATTATGTAATGATAACGTTCATGTCAAGCTCTGAGACAACAAATAATTAGCTGAAATGAACTTATCTTTATCTACTTAGGAGAACAGTTGAGACAAAAGTAACGTTATCTTATCACAACAGATGCAGATTTTGTTGGATTGTCGCCTCAGGAAAGGGTGAAACTAAGAATGCGTGAAAAAGCCAAGAAGAAGACAGCTGAGAAGTACTCTGTTCAACAACTACTAGAGAAGGTGACACTGTGAAGATATCTACAGCAAAGACAGAAGCCAGATCTGCCATGTCTTCAAATTGTAAGGCTAATTCTGATCATATTACGTAATTTGATCTTGTGTTGTACAGACAGAGGAATGTATGGACAGTTTTGACTTTGAGATGGCCAGCCTTTTCTGTCAAAGAGCCCTGGATGTGGAGTCCACCAACCTGCAAGCTCTAGATATGTTGGGGCACATCTACTCTGAACTGGGAGACACACAGAAAGCTAAGGAAATATCCTCTACACAGGTTTCATATTTTTGCTGTGTGCATGCCAGCAATTGTACTGAATCACTGCTGTTATATCCCCATGCTCTTTTAATGGCTGCAGTTTCTTTGACAAAACTTCCTAAGTTTTTCTGCGTGCAGTGGACTTGAGCCCAGATGTAGGCCATAGTAAATATATGTACCTGGGACAGATCCATACAGGCCAGGATGCTGCGGACTACTACACTAGAGGAATACAGGTCCTCCTGTCTGCATTGGACAAACAAGCACAGACCACAGTGAGTTAACACCTATACACGCTCCTATTCCCTGTGTGGTTTACTTGTTGTAGATGCACTACTTTAGCTTGGGAGAATTGCTAATGGCTTAATGCTAGACTAATGCTATTTATTTTCACAGGGGGGTGCTGTTGGACAATCTATTCAGTATTTGTTTTTCATCTATCTTTTGAGCAGTGTCAGTTCACTGAAAAATGCTAAATGACTGACATGGTAATGCACACACTCATGCTACTGTTATGGCAGTGCCATGAAAAACCCTATACTGTCATGACATTAATACTTAGAATTTTTACAAATCATACATAAATTACAGGTAATTAGGGAACACTATGTTGCCCCAAAGTTGTGATGAACAATGAAATATATATAAAATAACAAAACAACCCATGGTTATGTTGAGACTAGTGAATCAGAGTTTCTTATTTTGAAGAATTTGCAGTACTGGACTGATGCAAAAATATGTTCATAGATTTTTTCATAATTCTAATTTTGAGGTGCCTTTTTTTTTTGTTCAAGTAGCAGAAAGTTTTACATGGTCATTCAAGTAGCAGAAACTTTTACATGGTCATGTAATAAAACAACCATGAATTATATTTCTATGGCACATAGATTCAAGAATAGGTAAATACTGAGGTAAAGGAGCAAAAATGACTAGGATTTGGTGTAATAATGTAACAACTTGAAGGTGTTCTGATTTTAATTTAAAAAAAAGGTTCTTTTCCATTTGTAACAGTGTACATTGATTTATTCCAGTTTCATTCAGTAGTTTAACATATTGTATTGTTGGTATCTATTTAAACAACTGTGCTTATAGTATAGATAAGAAATGGTATAAACAAGTGTTGTATATAAGAGAGAAAACACATTGGCTGTTCAACATAATTTAACTCTTTATAAGCCTTTTTCACATGAAACAAACTTCAGTACTGTTCAGTGGTTAGTGAACCAACATGCACAATACCAGGACCCTGGCACTGAAGCAACTAAATGAAAATCGGGCAACATTCATTTTTTACAGTGTTTACTATGACATGTCAAAACAGTCTTTTAAAAAAAGGTTTATATATATATAGGAATATATATATATAGGAAATAGAGAACTTGTGCACATTTCCACTCACTGATTAACTTGATTGTTTTAAAAAATCAGCTTGTTTTCACTCTCATTTGATTTTGCTCATGTTTGATGCAACTTTTACACACCTCTCAAAATATGTGCTTTCTGCTCTTTAAGCAGGCTCAGGCTGGAGCTGCTGCCTCGCTGGATGAAGACCCTGAGCTCCTCACAGCAAAGGATGTTAGTGCAGCCTACTGCTCCATCGCCGAGATTTACCTAACAGATCTCTGGTACTGGCACACATACATTTAAACACCGATGATTATAACCTCCTTTTATTGTTACTACTTTGGTATTGACTTGAGATTTGTGTGTGTGCATGCGCATGTAGCATGGAGGAGGGAGCTGCTGACAAGTGCAGAGAGTTTATTGAGAGAGCATTACAGTATCACCATGACAACCCCGAGGCTCTTCAGCTCATGGCCAGTTACCTGTTCAGTACAGAGAGAAACCAGGTCAGTCCACACACACACACACACACACACACACACACAGTTTAGATGAGTTATCACCATATTAAAGCAGAAATCTGCTGAGTTAATTATTCTGAACAAATTGAATTTTATGCCATTAATCAGCAGATGGACATTTACATTAACATGCACACACACAGACCGGTTATGCTGCTAGAGCCTGATATCAGTGTTAATTACTGTGTGAGCCTTTGAGGTCATATTGGGTACATCCAAAGTCTCTTATATGACCATTCCTCGATCCTTACTCAACGGGAACAACTTCTGGGCTTAGTGAAGATCCTTACCCAAGACTCTGACAGTCATGGCCAAAATTATTGGCACCCTTGCATTTCTGTCAGATAACACACCACTTCTCCTGCAAAATTGTTGCAATCCCAAATTCTTTGGTATTCTTATGTTTATTTCTTTTGTTTTCATTGGAACAAAAAAAAGCCTAATCTGATCCATTCCACACAGAACTCCACAAATGGACTGGACAGAATTATTGACACCCTCAACTTAATATTTGGTAGCACACCCTTTGGTCAAAATAACTGAAATCATTTGCTTCCTGTAACCATCAGTGAGTTTCTTACTCCTCTCTACTGGAGTTTTGGACCAACTGCTCCAGGTCTCTCAGATTTGAAGGGTTCCTTCTCCCAGCTGCTGTTCTGAGATCTCTCCACAGGTGGTCTATGGGATTTAGACCTGGACTCATTGCTGGCCGCTTCACAACTCTCTTAACTCATTGTCTGAATCTATTTCTGGTGTGTTTTGAAGTTTACTTTGGGTCATTGTCCTGTTGTACGACCCATGACCTCTGACGGAGACCCAGCTTTCTGACACTAGGGACCATGTTCTTTTTTTTGAAGGCCTCATTTCATTTTCTAACAACAGTAGAATGATGTGCTCGACCATAAAGCTCTATTTTAGTCTCATCCGTCCACAGGACATTCTCCCAGAAGGACTGTGGCTTCCTTGGGTAAGTTTTGGCAAACTCCAGTCTGGCTTTTTTATGTTTCTGTGTCAGCAGTGGGGCCGTCTGGGTCTCCTACCATAGTGTCCCTTATCTTTCAAATGGCGATGGATAGTGTGAGCTGATACTGTTACACCCTGTGGCTGCAGGTCATCTTGAATCTGTTTGGAAGTTCATCGAGGTTCTTTATCCACTATTCAAACAATCCTTCATTGTCATCTGTTTTTCTGTTTCGTCCACGTCCAGGGAGACTAGCTACAGCACGATGGGCTGTAAACGTCTTGACAGTGTTGTGCACAGTTGACACAGGAACAGCCAGATCTCTGGAGATGGACTTGGAGTCCTGTGACTGACCATGTTTTTCCACCATTGTGGTTCTTAGATCCTCAGACAATTCTTTGCTCTTCTTTCTTTTCCCCTTGCTCAGTGTGGTCCACATGATACAAGGGTTGAGTCAACTTTTCTCCATTTTAACTGGTTACCATTGTGATTTCTATATTGCCAGCACCTGTTGACTGCTACAGGTGAGTTTCATACAAATTAAAGGACCAACACGGGCTGGAAATAAAACTATTTTTGATGATTTTGAAAATTCTGTCCAGTCCATTTCTAGAGATTTGTGTGGAATGTCAGATTTGGCCTTTTTCTGCTTTTTTGTGTTGTTGCAATGCAAACAAAATAAATAAATATGAGAATACCAAAGAATTTGTGATTGCAACAGTTTTCTGGGAGAAGTGGTGTGTTATCTGATAGAAATGCAGGGGTGCCAGTATTTTTGGCCATGATCTGCTCAGAGGAGTGAGGACTGAGTGAGGAGGCTTCCTGGAACAGACATGAGGGAGGATAGAAGAGATCCATCTTTTATGGACCAATACACCCTTTTATCAGAAATCAGTTGCGGGATTGGACACCTCAAAGAAAGGACTATAGGAAAGGATGTCTCGTGTCTCTACAAACATGCTTCCTTGATTCCTTTCTCCTCGCATCCTTTTGTGCATCTTACATTGGCAGAACTAAAATGCAAGAGAGGGAAATGCGGTTGCATATAAGGGATCAAAAGCCATACAACTCAAATCAGAAAAAGGTGGACAGTATGTAAAATCAACATTACAGCTGAAAATAGTGATGTGTAAATCATCTGTGTCCTGTATTACATTGAAAATTTCAGTTTTATTATTTGTTCAAAATACTGTAAACATTTTAATTATGATGCCTCCAACACATTCCAGAAAAAAAGGTATGGTTGCATTTCAGAGCTATTAATGATATAAAGAGAGAGAAATGAGGGATCAGCCTGGTAGAAGAGATGCCATCAGAACTTTCTGGCATGAATCATCTGACACTTATGTAGTGTGATATCTTATAATTCTTTTCTTTATCTTTACTAGTTTTGAAAAGCATTGCACATATTCAAGTGGTAATTAAAGTATTGCAGCATTACCAGCTGTTATGATAAACGATGCCAAAGGCAAAACCTTTGTGTTAAAATTATGTGGCACATGTTTAAGAGCGTGCACCTTTTTTTTTCTTCTTTTGAAAGAACTTTCAGTTCGATGAACTAACTTGTGGGAGTGTTTCAGGTCACCATTATATGTTTGTGTTGAACAAAACACATAATTTTCACATTTTTACAGTTTTTTTAATGTTGTAGAATAAAACTTGCAACAAAATGAATGATATCAAGCCTGGCGTTTTTAAACTATTTTGATAAAATAACCACTTGCTTTCTAGGAACAATTTCACACAGTGAGTAAAGGCATAGAGATATTGGCATCGTGTCAAAGGCAAATATCTCAAGTCTTAATCAAATAAACCCAAAGCTAGCAGTGAAAACTTTTTGTTTGTACTTTTTTAGCTGCAACATACTGTACAATAGAAGTGAAGTGGAGCTGTAATACTGGCAGTGAGCTGTAGGGGTCAGGCTGGCTCCAGTTAGACTTCACAACATCCCACATCCAACAACCAAAGTCTCTCTTTGGAATACTCTAGTAATAATTTTGAAAACATTGATATAATCCAGATGTCACTGACACATATAGAGTATTCAGGATGGGGTCTGTAGAAGTCAAAATGAACAGTAAGAATACTCTATTGCAGTGTTGTGGGAGTACATTTTGTGTTTGTTTACAATTGTAGCTGTGTACACAACACTTAACCATTGACATATACCTGTTTCCACATATATACATTTTTCTCAGGAAGGTAGGGAATACCTGCTGAGAAGCGTTGGTTTGTGGCTTCCTGGCCAGAAACAGAGTGCAGCATCTTCCAGCACAGAGGAAGTCATGCAGGTGAGTTAGAGCAGTGTTTGGTGTTCTTCTAACTGCATTCAGCCCTCATAAGCCCTCCCGGTTTATTTATAAAGCACTTTCAACTAACAGGATTGTCACAGTGCATTTTGCAGCAAGCACAAATGCCAGTAGAGATAAAAAAAGTAAGAGATAATGAAATGAGGGATAATATAAAAAAAGATGGAACAAGCACTTCACAAACCTGTGAGAGTGGATGTGAAAACTCAAACAACACGAGGAAAGGACTTAAAGGATAAGTAAGAAAATTACTGCAGGGAATTTTACAAAGAGAAAAAAATGGTTGTAATGCCAACGATATGATTTTCAAATTTCCCTCAGTTTACACTCGGATGCTGAGAAAATGTGATGAAAGAGGGGATGGTGTGATGATTTGATACAAAAATCCCAGTGGCTCCACTGATATGACTCTTATCTCCTGGAGCAGGTCGATCTTAGCTAAGGCTGCTGACACTTTGGCTGTTATTAACAGCCACGTAGCTGCAGAACATTTTGTACCTTGAAATTGGCTCATGTTATTATCAGAGAAAGAAAAGAACTATGTTCTTTGATGCTTGTGTAAACACTCACTGCAGAGGTGGCGATGTTGTCCTTTTTTTTCCAGAACGCAGCCCCTCCGTACGAGTCTCGCATCACCACAGCCAAACTGCTCATTGAGTGCGAAGAATACGAGGTAAAAATGTTGCATTGTGCTTGTACTCTCTGCCGTTGTCAGCCTGTGTATGTTTCGTGGTGGGAGGACGGCCTGGCATTTGTATGTATGTATGGCTATGAAGATGGGAAGGCCATGCCCAGCCTTTATCCCCTCCAGGATTCAGTGTCATTAATCGAAGAATGGTATTCATAGAGAACACACACACACATATACAGTATATATGAGGGAAGCTTTATTCTGATGAAGTACTGCCATATCTGTGATACAGTGCACTTGTCTACTAAACCACACATCAATTTCCAGTATTAATGGCCTTGGTGTTAGTGGCTCACTGCCTTCAGTGCTAAATCCCACTAACAGTCATTAACCCTTGATGTCATTCTCTATGATTACTGCCACACTAGCAGCAGTTTTTTCTGTTGGGATCCAGTTATTAATGTGTAGTCGCTCTTGAGTGGTTTATGGCTATTACTGGCAGGAAATGAGAACAGTATCTTTTTCCCCCTCACAACTAAACGGCTCAGCTGTAGTTATATTTTTGTGTGTGTGTGTGGGTGGGAGATGGGCTGTCAGGTGTATCAGTAAAATGACAACGTCTCGGTCCACAGTTTCCGACACGTCGTTTGTCTTCATCCTCCTGTCGGTGTCATCTGCCCTGAAACAAACAGCACCAATTCTCATGATGTTATAAAGTGCATATTTTGCTGTGCATATACTGTACACATCCACGCCCAAGTTTGGTCATATTTGCTCTATAGCTATTTGAAAGTTTCTGACAGAAATTGCAGTTAAGAGTGGAAGTAAAGAAGAAGCTAGCTATTTTCTGTTCGTCTCTCCCCGACTGGGACTTAGCCGGATTTCATAGGAACATCCTGTCTTCTCTTTCCTTCCTCTACTCCTCTGTCACACATACACACTCTCACTGATTTTTGTGCTCACTATCTCTCCCTGTGGACTATAAATCTATTCACAACTCTAAACTCTGTGTAAAGTTGTGTGCTTCCAGCCTGTAGAGTGATCAGTTTGAGGAGTTTATAGCAGTGTGCCAGAATACAACCATTTGTCTGTAGTTTTCTCCCTGTTGACTTTTTTTTTTTTGGTCCTTCCAAATTGAGGCAAGACTATGGAAGATTGATTACAGTATTTGTCAAAGTATTAAAGTATTATTGAGTTTTCTGCACCTACTTAGAGTAAACAGCTATTTCTAGTAAATAATAGTGCTTTGTTGAATAGCCCAAGTAGAAGAACTGCCATGTTCTTTGCCAAAAAACCCTTGTGTGTTTGTGTTGGCGATGAAGCTCTTTGTCTGATGAAAAGCAGTCTGGCCTTTTACGTTCAGTCTGTTATGTGGCTTGAATTGGAATAAATTAAACATTTGCCAAAATAAAAAATGTCAGTTTGATTACTATGGCCAAATAATCAGGCTGTATAATATTATTTTGTCTTGATAGTTAGTGGAGGAAAAACACTAGTGCATGGTGAGGACAGGTTAAATCACTAAAATGTAGTGAGATGATCTCTTCAGATGTTCCTTAGGGTGTGTAAACGGCATTTTATCATTTGCAATCATTTTACTAGGTGACAGTCTAAACTGGAACTTTACATGTTAAACCTTCGACCTTTGCTCTGGGGGCACCACTGCTCTTTGTCCTTGAAGGTTTCTTATAGATTTTGTCATTAAAGCATGAATTTCTTATGACATTAATAGAGGTGGTTGCCAATTCGGTGCCAGTGAGCAGACTCTGCGATAATAATAATCATAAACCAAAGTGGGAAAGTGTTGCATGTAAATAATATTGTCACTGCTGGATAAACAGGTCTCTTTTATGCAAAGTCAGTCGAGGCCATGACTTTCAATAAAGAGAAAAGCACTTTCCTTTCAATTTGAGAGCACATGAATGGCTCAAAATGAAAGTAAATTTGGCTTAGAAAGTGGATATTTTATGATAGTTGAGTTCCACTTAATAGAGGGTTAAGAGCATATCAGCAAGTCAAGGGGAAAGTGTTGCATTTTGTAATTATCTCACTGTCCTCGTTAGTACAGTAGGCACTAATAAAACCTCCAATGACTGTGGGTTAATGAATTCATAAAAACACAAGTTACATGACTGCTGCTCTTCTCTTCAGTCTTCTGTTTCAACAAGACATGAATCTGTGCCACTTAATTTGGAAGAGGAAAAGTCACCAGAATTGCTTTTCAAGGTCTTTTATCCCCTTTTGATTGTTTTCCAGGAGAAACAATTGAATGTATGCTAAATTTGCTTGTGGTTTCTGTAGCTCTAATGGAAATAGAGTAGGAATATTTGAGGGGAGCTTGATATACATATATAGGTATCATTGTCCAGCAGTTTGATGCTCTATGGAAGTATTTTTGTGCCAGCTTCTGTTGTGCAGAAAACAGCTTAGTTAATAGATCGGTTGTTGGGCAGACGATTAATTGACAAGTTTCCATATTTATTGCTTGTAATCACAATGCCAAACATTTAGTAGTTTCAGCTTCTGATATAGGAGAATGTTTTGCTTTTCTGTTTAGCTAAAGATCATGTAAAATGAATATATTTGGGTTTTGATGTGTAGGTTGAAGAAAAGCGATTTGAAGGTGTGGGCAGATTGGGCATTTTTCACTCTTTCTGTTATTTTCTGGGCAAATAAATCCAATTTTGGTCAAATTATAGTTACACCAGTAAATTCTGGAAGTTTACTGTGCAGTTATCTGTATTATTGTGATTAGCTGATTAATTGGCTAGACACAGACAAATGTGATAATCTGTTGTTTAAGTTATTCTTTGGTTCTCCAGTGTGAAGATGTGCTACCCTTCTCTGCTTTATATAAATAGTTTATCTCTGAGTTTTACTCCTGTTGTTTGCACCAAACAATCAATTATGCAAAGTCTGTCAGCCTTTTATTCTGTAATTCATGCTTTACTGCTTGTTTATATTGGCATGTTTTAATGAAAAACAACAGCTTTTTATTAACAATGCGCCCCTCACTGTGAGACACATATAAATGCACACATTACCATCATCATCCCCCATCACCACCACTAATTCACTTGCCACACGGCAGGCAGACAGACGCCGTCGCCTGACAGCCATTAAGGTGTCTGCTCAGCATACTTGTCACAGTAGCTGATGGGTAGTTACTCTCCCTGTCACTTCTGTTTGCTTTCATGTTTTTCACGGAACATTTCTGTTCTTAAATTTAGCTCACAATGGAGCTCAGTTTGTACTTTGCAATGTTGCTTCCAACTTCACTAAGCACTGACGTCCCAGAGATTTATTTACTTAAGTGTAGACGTCCCCGTTTGTGCACGTGCGTGTGTATGTGTATGGGTTTCTGTGTGTTACAGACACGGCTTGCCTTCGCTTGTAAAGTGATTTGTCTTTCTCCTGTCGCTGCTGTGCGCTCCAGTAAAATGATTCTGTTAAACAAAATTGCCTGAAGATTACGCACACACACACAAACAAAGCACATACACACAATGGCCATTATAAATGAATTCTTCCTCCGTTTGTTGCTTTTTTTATTTTTTTAAATAAAGAGGACAACATGTACATAGTGTCTTTGGTGTGTATTTATGTGTGTGTGTCTTTGTGGTGCACCACTGCTGTTCATGGACCAGTTTTCATTGTTTATTAAGATACTTTTCTTTGTACTCTTCCTTCCAATTTTGTCACTTTTGCCTCTGTAATACCCCTCTCCTCCCCTTATCTTCAATGGAATATTAATCTTGTTGTTGTTTAGAGCGTGAAGCGACTTAAGAATATCTGAATCTTTAATCACTTGCCCGTGGGTTGACCAGTGTAGTTAGGAAGGAGTGCGGTTGGAGATGATATAATGGTTATCATTGCTCACTTATCCTGGCTCCCGGATATCTCTTGTTCTATTTTTGTTGCTCCAAAACCGCCTGTTCTATCAGTTGTTTAATACCCAGACAGCTCTTTACTCCTATCTCTTATATCTAGTGCTTGGCTCGAATTGCTCTGTGTGTTTGTGTGTGTGTCTACGGATGTGTGTCTGTCACACTGGTGTGATATAATGAAAGTCAAGTAGATAATTATGACGCTGGGCATGAATCCATTCATCATCAGCTGGGATTAGGTGTTTTTGTTTGTGTATTTTTAATCAGTCATTAATTAATTAAGGACAATGGGTTTTCAGCTGATAATTGGTCCAGCAATCAATCAGCTGACTCCCTGACATGCACATTTGCACACTCTTAATGAGATACTCTCAATTAACCTGACTCTCCTTCAGTCTGCCAAGGCAACAGACCTCTTTATTGCCATCGGAACAACATTGGCCTATTGAAAAGGGAAGAAAACTCCAAGTAGCAGGAGGAGAAAAACATTAGGAAGCTCTCCAGCTAATAAGACTGCCTTAACAAGAAACTAGTGCTGCTTGTTGTGCTCACTGTTGTGTGTAGCTTTGTTGAAGACTGCGACTGTTCTGCTCTCTCTGTGTGTGCACGCGCGTGTGTGCTGGTGTGTGCATGTTTTTTATTCTTGCCCTTCACCATGGGTGATTGGCTAACAGTCGCCTCCAACCTGAAGTTGACAAAAATCAATATATCATCACCTGGGGCCTCACAAACACACACATACCACAGAAAAAGAATCAGCCAGGAGAGAAGCATACACACAGCCTACTTTAGTCAAGGTCTGTTTTCTGTAATAGAAACTTCCCACAGAAAATGCACCCAGACAGTGACGCACTATGGCAAAGGTCACCTATATTAAACTCCTTTGAGACCTAAAACCCTCTCTCCAGAATACAACAGAGAGAAATTTAGAGAAATACTTTTGACATTGTGTGAGGGGGGGGGAATAGCGATGGTGGGTCACAGTGATCTTTACTGTTATTGTGCGTCGATTGGAGTGGGCTGGATACTGAGATATTCTTAGTAATGCAATGGTAATGTCAGTAAAAGGATTAAAACGGCTGTTGAGCAGCATGGCCACAGTGACTATTGACTTTGTGATAAGCTCTGGTGAGAGTGTATATTGACGGTCACGTCTGTCGTCTTGTTGATATCGACAATTTTGTGCATGGCCGCTGGCATCATAGATGCTTATCGCGCTGTCACTGATCACGCTGATTGATCAAGCTGCTTGGGAGCCCTGGTGGCTGCCTGTGAGAATAGACAACATACTAGAAGTGTGGGCTGATGAATGTTTCCCATAAACCGGGCCTGTTTACACCCCCCCCCCACCCCCCCAGTATTACTGTTAATTCTCATTTCAGTCTCTCTCTCTGTTTTTATTAGATGGCAGTAGATGTGTTGGAGGGTCTTCTGGAGGAGGATGATGAGGTCGTCCAGGTGAGCGACAAAAAGGGCTCTTTATTTATTGTCCAGTTAAAAAAAAACTGATGGTCGGCTTGGCTTTCACTCATGTCTGCTTTATTTCTTTCTTTTTATTTATGATTTATTTATCTGTCTTTGTTCATCTCCAGGTGTCAACTAAAATGCAGAGGACTTTTCTTTGTCTTTGATTTTCTTAACAATGAAATCTGGTTTTGTATTTCCAACATGTCTGTCTCTAGCCCACTGAACTGTATAAAATAGACTGTATAGGTCATAAATCCCACTCCTCCATGTTAATGGATGGGACATGAGCCAAACTAAAAAGTACAAATCAGATACATTTTTCCAAGACGTGATTTCTGTATATAATGTAGTCCAGTACAACACCACCTACAGGTGTGGCTTTGAATCTGACTGATCAGTGTATATACAGTCAATGCTGTAGCCTAGGTCCCGACCTCTGAATCAAAGCCCACATCTCTGATTCATTCAGCCGTACTAATGGTGCTCATTCACAGCTGGTTGTAGAAAACAAACAGCCAATCACAGCCTTGTGGACAGGATTAAGAATGGGAATGTCAGCTTCCTATCTACACCTAGCTACATCCGTGAAAAATAGCAATAAATAAATAAATGAAAGGTGTGTGAATGAGTCAGATTACAGGAATAACATCTTCTAAATCAGCACATTTATTCAGTTGTCTTAATAATCTTTAAAGTAACAGCTCCTAACAACTGCTACCTGACTGGTCACAGCAAAACTCTGTTGTAAGGGACCTGTGTGTGTACATGTGTCTTGTCAGTGCACAGGATTAAGTGATGACTTTTAATGTCGTCCCCCCCCCTTTTCCAGCCAGTCTTTATTATTATTGCCGGAGCAGTACAACTTGTAGGCAAAATGTTTATCACCTTGGTGGAAAGGAGAAAGTCCCAACTTGAGCACTTAGTAGCTTCCGCTGAGCCACTGTTTGTATGTGTGTGTACACAAAGAAGCATCTAAACACCCACACTTTGGCACTACTTGCTCTCAACACTTACGTGCTCACACACAGAGTATGATTGAGAACTTAAAAGCTTATTAGAAAGTGGCATAAATGGCAGTATTTTCTGTGCTTTAGTAGGAACTCTAACAGTGCTGACAGTGTGCTCCAAATCCCCACCGTCAGTAGCAGAGGAAGCAGAGGTATTCCACTTGAATGTCAGATAGAAGAGCACGGCAGTGCCATCCCCTCACTCCCCCCAGGCTCAGCCTCCTACACACACCCCTCAACTGACAGATTGAGAGCAGTCATGAGGGGGCTGAACTTTTAAACTAGCTCCGAAGACGCACAGCTGTGACACTCGATTTGAGCGAGCCTAAAGCCAATCACACCTGCTACCAGTCACCGGTTCTAATGGTCAGAAAATGTTTTGTCAGATCACATCACAGTTATGTAGCTAGAGTTGTATCTCTGATGTCAGACATGTATGGCAGACTCTCTTCCCATTGTTGTTTTGCTCTTTTCTTGTTCCTTCTTTTAAGTGCAGTACGTAAGTTGTTCGCCCTCGCCTCTGTCAACTCTCTTCTATCTCATAGTTGGAGCCTTACGTATATAACATTCTGTACAAACAACTGATGTTGTTCCTTGCAAATCTTGTTTCAAAGGTATTCTGTTGATTCATGAGGCTTTTGTTCTTCTTTAGCAGTACCATATGGGAACTAAGATGTGACTTTACTTTGAAAGGACAATAGTCCAAGTGATTTGATTGACAGACGCCACACTTATTTTATGTGTGCTTCTGTCGGGGCTTGTTTTAGAGGAGAATGGATTCTCTGAAGTTCTTAATTAACTAACTTTCTCATGTTTTAATTTTGAGTGCAGATGCACAAGCCATCTTCCCCACATGCACTAATATTTCACAATGGACTATCTCTAAAGAATTTTCTAGCCTTATTCTAGCTTTTAAGACATGCATTGGTTCTCATTTGTGAAGAAGTTAGTGTTGAGTTTAAGTGACCCAGTTTCACTCTTTTTTCTCTCGAATACACAAGAGCAAAGTTCTGCATTCACAGAGAAATGTTTCAGTGATTAAAAATGTCAGACTGCTGCTTCTGCAACTTGACTACATTTTTCCAATGCTGCTGTTATTGTGATAAGTATGGCTGCAGGGGGGAGCCTCCCACTCAGCACGCTGAGCGGCAATTCTGAATTCAGTGCGGCATGCCTTGATGTGTTTGTTAGCTAAATGGTTGATTTGGCAGAGGTGCAGGTCCCTACTGCCTCTGCCCTCGATGAATAATGACTAAAGCTAATATTCGTGCCTTGGTGCTTGAAGAACACAGTGGGTGGGTGATCTTTGGCCACAGATGAGAGGCGCACACACACCTCCAAGTTCACTGAGAGTTGATGTGATTGTGTTTAGAGGTGGAAGAGCAAGCATATATGTGATTATGTAAGCTGAGAAAAGGTGTGATTATGAAACAGAGGGAACACAAGCTGATTTTAATGTGCTCCACCATCCTAATTTACAGAGAGAATAAGCTTCCCCTCACTGAATAAACTTTGCAGAGTTCTAGGTTTCTGTTATTCTTACAATATATTGTTATCCCACTGATTGATCTGGCTATTCTTTGTTTGAAAACTTCAGTCCAGCTGTTGACATGTTGTGTATATGAGACCGGATTTTGAACAAATAGTCATTTACCACATGGGTGACTCTAAAGCAGGGTCTAGAAATATGGTGATACTATTAGTTTCTTTCTGTAAAAGTGACAGTTGAACCTACATAAAGAAAAGTCTGGAAGAAAAGTCCATCAGAAGCTTGATTCAGTTGAAGGATTTGCACAAACTGTAAAAACTGGAATGTGTGGATGCTTTTCATACTAAGTCACAAGTGTAAGTGCTCTAAAGGTAGTAAGCACAGAAAGGATAATCACCTTTATTGGCCAAGTATGTTACACACAATTTGTTTCCGGTACAGAAACGAGGCAGCCATCTGCGGCGCCACCTCACACCGATTGCTCTAACCATCGGGGGCAACTTGGGGGTTTGGTGTCTTGCTGAAGGGCACTTCGACACGTGGACTGCAGGCACTGAGGTTCAAAACTCCGGCCCTCCTTGTTGGGAGACAACTGCTCAACCCACTGAACCACAGTCGCCCCCAGGAAATGTGATACTACCACACAACTAGAAGTTTAAAATGAGCAATTAAAAATGGGTTATATAGACATAGCACCTGACAATTTAAGCATAATTGAACCAGTGCAAGTGTTTTATTTTCATATTGCCCCTCTGATGTTCCGACAAATAGCCACAGTGTGACGGACAATTTGCTAGGCGACAGTAAACTTCACAGCATTACCGGTCATTTAAATCACCTGTTATTTATAGATACTGCTTTGTTTTGCCAAAGCGGGTGGTGCCTGGAAACCCTGCAGACATTCACATTTGATAAAATCATCATGGTCAGTTTTTGTTTCAGAAGTTTTCAAAACTTGACCACAGCAATAGTGAAGTTTTCCCAGAGAGTGTTTTTTAGTTGGCATTTAATGCCCTGAACACAACTTGCTCCGGAGCAGGTATGGTATGAAACTGAAGTTACCATGGTGATGTACCTTGCAAAAATTGGACTGCAAAACCAGTCGAGTTCGCTCCTTAGCCCTCTATTCTTGCTTTCAGAGTCAGGCCCCAGGACTGTGGCACTTTGCTTCCTCTTTCATTAATTTCAGTCTAGAAATGTAGTATGAGCTAAATATTTTGAAATTGAATAAACAGTTAGATAAGCTTGATAATTCGATTAAGTTTGAAGTTATTTTTCAATATAGTAATTTCCTCTTTTGGAAAAGTAATAATGGAAAAACAAATTTGTAGAACATTGAGTCAAAGATTTGAATTCATTGTGAAGCGACAGTATCTGCACATGGCATTTACATTCATGCAGCATTTGGAAATGAGAAGAGGATTGGATCAGGCTGACAGTTATGTGAGTGATGGATTGCTTGTGTGTGTCAGTAGGATTCTGTGTCATATGTGTGAAACTTATTTGTCAAAGAAGGATGTGGGATTTCATACAGACATGCTCCGTCAGGGTTACAAATCTGTTTCCCTTGTCACAGCCCGCTTACTGCAACAAAGAATGCTTTCTCTCTGTATGAATCTCTGTACCTCACACCCACCCAACCCGCGTCTCTTCCTCTGTGTTTCCCAGGTGTGGTATCTCTCTGGCTGGGTGTGCTACCTCCAGTTGGAAAAAGCAAAGGAGCAACAAGGAAGAGAAGGAAGAGTAGTGATGGAGGAGGAGGAGTGGAAGGCGCTGACAGAGGCTGCCAGATCATATCTGACCAATGCTAAGAAGGTAATTCAGGTCAAGTAAACCCCATAGCATCTGCCCACAAACCTGCTTAAGATCACTGCTTATTTTAATTATGAATTTCTTCTGTTCCTCTAAATTTCAGGTGGAAATATTATAGTTTTTGCTCCTACACTTATGTGACAGGCATAGTTCTGAGTTACTATGGTTCCTAGTTAGTTGGTTAATTGACTAATAATATAAGACAATGTAATGCAAATATGCAAAACACTTTATGGTTTCATCTTCTCAAATGTGACAATTTGTCTTAAATTATAGTAAATGGAATCATTATTTAGTTTTGGACTGTTGTTTGGACACAACAGGACATTTGTAAATTTCACTCTGAGCACTAATTGTGATGAGATTTCTCACAATTATCTTTGTTTTACAAACCAAACTATCAATGGATCATCGGTAAAATAATGAGAAGATTAATTGAAATAATTAGTCGCAACCCTATATAAAGTAGTCAAAGTCTAGCTTCACCTCAACCAGCAGGAGTTGCATGTGGGTTAAATATTAATGTATGAGCACTAATATAATGATGTAGTAAGTATGGTAGCACTCACACTGGCCATGTTTCTGCACTGAATACTTTCACTTGATGCTTTAACTACATTTTTCTAATAATATGTATCTTTTGTAAAAGTTTTGATGTGGACCTTTTACTTGAAATAGAGTATTTTTATTGTGTTTGGTGCTTTAAATTAGTTAAAGGATCTGAATGCTTTGTCCACCATTGTACTAGGCACCCGTGGGTACAGCTGGTTACATCCAGTACAAAATCACAATAGGTAAGACTCCTAAGAGGCAGCTTTGTCAGAGAAGGAGTACATGCATTAATGTGTACAGAGGATCCTAACTGAGCTCCATTGTTGCCACAGAAATTTATTTTTGTAGTCTCTCAAAGAGGTTTAAATATACTCTCTCCCATTCCCCTCTCTCTCTCTCTCTCTCACACTCACACACACTCAGAATGATGTGTTTCATTCGTACTGTCATTCTGTCAGGGAGCAATGCTTCTATGGAGCAGTGATTCATGTTAGTCTAAAATCCAATAGGCTTGTAAATCAGGCTGAAGGATGGCAGGCCCCACCTCAGATTTTTTTCCTCCCCTCTTTTCCTCTCTTTTTCACCTCTGCACCCAATTCCCCATCTGCCTTTCTCCTCTCCCCTCCCAGCATGTTCCTCTCCAGATAAGTAGGGGCAGCAGGATGGCAATATATTGACGTCTGTCTCTGTGGCCAGCAGTGTAGTGACAGGCCTGTCTAACCAGCATCCACTGGGGATGGCCGCACCAGAGACGGGAGCGAGGTGGGCTTTGAGCTGCCAATGGGGAGAACTGTGGGAGGAAAATAAACGCAGCTTGTGCTTATAGATTTGAGCTGCCACCTTTATGGCGAGAGTTCATGAAGAAAAAAAAATACAAAAGGAAAAAAATGGAATTTTGCACTGAAAGAAAGAATGCAAGGGCATAAAATGATGAAAGACTGGTAAACGCACTTGGTAAGGCATCAGAGCATGACAAGTAAACAGCATGGCAGTTTCTTTGTAGAGTGAGGGAAGCAACAGGCACTGAATATTGTGAAAGGGACCGGGGGTGGGGGGATTTTGAAAAGGTGAGATGGAATGTGGAGAGAAAAGAGCCACCATCATGATGCACTTAATTCCTTAGCTCTGCACCTTGGTTTCCTGTGTGTGCACAGCTGTATATTGTGCAGTCTGGATTCTCCCATGTTTATATCAAAGCTTTGTTTCTGAGCATCACTGTGAGTGTTAATTATTAACGATGAGTCAGTCTGCTAGTTAAAATGGGCTCCAACATGGAAATGAGGCCCCAAAGCCCGACGGCTTCTTTTGGCACCAGTCCACTTCTCTGCATACTTTATGACTCTGCTAAGTGTGTGTGCGTGCGCGTGCGCATGTGCGTGTGTGTGTGTAGTGTGATGCAGTGAGAAAAAATGTTCGGGCGCTCCTTATGTGGATGCACATATTTAATTATAGTTGTGTGTGCCAACTTGCATATCTAATTATTTGTCTTCATTATTCCTCTCTTCTCTGATCAATACACACACACACACACACACACACACACACTATTCAGCTGAGATACTCTAAAAGGAATAATAGGGGAATGAATGAGTTTAGAGGACAAGAAAGACATGTAGGAGAGGAGCAGGAGAATGAAAAGGGCGGTGACTAAGGGAACAGATTAGATGTGAGGGGTGTGTGTGTGTATATGTGGCTGTGTGGGTTCAGTGGGTGTAGCTGGTGAATAGCGGCGAGGGTAAAATCAATAGTAAACCGGACGTAAAGTGGAACTTGAGTTTCAGCCAGATAAGGTGCGACTGAGGAAGGGTCCGCAGTGTATGCACAGGACAATGTTGTGTATGTGTGTTTTTGTGCATGTGTGCACAGAGGCAGCGAGGGCAGACAGAGGTCAGAGGCATTGCTATTTGATGTGGCTGAAAGGGTACTCTGTAAGCACAGGGTGTGGGTAGA